GTCTATTTATCCATCCATATATTTTATGTGTCAATTATCTATTATATATATATATAAAATATATAGATATATGAACATATGCATATATATATATATTTATATATATATGCATATTTAAATTTATATATATATAAATATATACAAGTATATATAAATATGTTTGTTCTGCTGTATTTGGTTGTGGGTGTAATATGTGTGTAGTACGTATATGTATGTATTTTTATATGTCCACGCTCATGCAGATATATTTACATATGCCGATATAGTCGTAAAAACCTCTGTTCTGATATATATGTATATATGTGCTCGTGTACTATGATACATGTATTTTTATATATTCATAAATCTATCATCGATATTTATATATATATATATATGTGTGTGTGAGTGTATACGTAAATGTATGTTCTTGTAGATCTATATAGCTATATATATATATGTCTGTGTATATGTGTATATAATATAGTATATAAATATACATTGATATCCAATGCTGAAGTAACAACAGTAAATTTGAGAAAGTTGCACTTATAAGCAATCAGCTTTAGTATATCGAATATTTCGATGTGGTTTACATTCAAAATATTTATATATAATAGTATTCGATCAGATTACACAAGTGCTTCACTTAATCTTGAAATGTCGATTAACGCAATATACGGGTTTCACCGGCGGATGCTACTCGACCACATATCTCGGAGCACCATCACATGGGTGTATCTCATGTCCAGAAAGCTACCAACAAATGCTCATACACTCGATCCCCTGCATATCGCACACTGGTCACAATCTGACTGTCGTTGCCTACTTCTCCACACCTCAGCGCACCCGCGGCAAAGAAAGCGAAGTCAGACGAGTCCTCATCCTCATCTGCTGAGTCGAGTGAATCAAGTGCCTCAAGCTCAGCCAGTTCGAAAGAGACCTCGCCTGCACCGGCCCCTGCGCCTGCTGCTGCACCCAAAACTAAGAAGGAGAAGCCCCAGAGAAACAATGTCCCGTTCTCGCGTATAGATCAATCCAAGATTGCTGTCCATGACGACCGGTTGTGGAACAATGCGTACTCGGTAAGTAATGAGGAGACTCCAATGGGTTTGGTTATATGTCGTGTATTGTTTTATTACAGATATAGTATTTTCACTCTTGGCTGACCAGCAGATTGTGGGAGAGATAAGTTACTTTACGTGTAATTGACAAACACATGTTTTATAGAAGTGCAGATGTCGCGTTGTGGATTATGCGTGTTCTGCGCTGTCGCCCGCCTGGTAATATATATGTATATGTATATATGTGCGGACGTGAATACACGTGTAAATTCCCATGCATATATCTTTAAAGCGTTTGATGACACTATCACCTCAATCACACGCAGTCGGAGCATGCTGGTAGCTGGGGAGCCAAAGCCAGCGAAGATCTGCTTAAAGTCCGAGGAAAAGGCTTCACACGAGAGAAGAACAAGAAGAAACGGGGCGCGTACAGGGGTGGCGAAATCGATATGAACGTGTCACACTCCATTAAGTTTGATTAGTGATATCTTAATAAACCCAAATATTAGCTTGTAATGGCCTGTGCTCAGGTCTCGCGCTGCATGACATCTGGTGTACAGTTTACAGTGGATGTTATACCTAACGAATATCTACCAGTAGAGGTGCGCGGGTAAGCCTTCGGATATGAAGGATTGCACCAAAGTGACCTTACTTCAAGTAGGGTAGTAACTAGTATAGACATCCTGCATTAACAAGCATTGCTTCAACTTGAAATAAATGTAAAAGATCTTTGATTTTCTGACAGCTGCATGGATCAAGCGGCGAGAGTTGTGTCGAGAATCCTGTTTGAAGCTAGCTGTGTTGTTGTTGCACGCGAGAGCACCAATATTAATGTATGCAAACCATGCAGCGATTTATGGAGGGTAACGTTGTTTATCTTATACAAAACAAAATATTCGCTATAACTGTGGGTGGCACTGGCCGCAGTCTTTAAGGCTCATAAACTATTTGTACACCAGTGTACATATACAATACCCCCAAACTAAACAGTTGTCTAATGTTGCTAATTTGCATACACGAGTATTCATAAAGGGCTAGGCTTAGCTCAAAGCTTTGTACTGCTTTCGCTGGCCTTATTTAGCTCGGTGATAACACGCAGCTGGCAATAAAGCGTTAAATGTGTATTGAGACTGACACGCAATGGCATTACAGATACACATCAGTAAAAGAAACTCCTATATATAAATACACGCACACACACACACACAATCACACACACACGCACAAACACACACACTCTCTCACACACACACAACACACACACGCACACACACACACACAAACACACACACACACGCGCGCACGCACACACACACACGCACACGCACAC